CTGGGGGCTGCAAAGTCCAGTTTCAGGGTGCTGGCTGATTTGGTTGCTGGTGAGACCCCTCTTCCTGGTGTGCAGATGGACATTATCTTAGTCTGTTTGAGCTGCTTTCACAAAACACCAGATTGGGTGGCTTATAAACAACAGAAATGTACTGCTCACAGTTCCGGGGGCTGGAAGTCGAGATCAGGGCGCCGCTGTGGTCAGCGTGGCCGGCTCTTTTCAGGTTGTAGCCTTCTTGCTCTGTCCTCACATGGGAGAGGGGGCTGGGATTCCCCTGGAGCCTCGTTTATAAGGCACTATCCCATTCAGGTCGTAAGGGTCTCTACGTCATGACGTAAGCACCTCCCAAAGGCCCCACTTTCTAATGCCATCACACCGAGAGCTAGGGTTCCAACACGTGGATCTGCAGGGGATACAACCATTCAGTCCATAGCAGCAAATGTATATTTAACTTTTTAAGAAGCTGCCAAGCTCTTTTCCAATGTGATCGTACCGTTTTATAGAGCACGTGGATGAGGTGCTCTGCGTCCTCACCAACTCTGGATTGCGTGGGTGATTTTAATTTTATCCACTTGAATAGGTGTGCCGCAGTATCTTACTGTGGTTTGATTTGCATTTCCCTAGTAACTAGTTCCTCTCCACCTGCTTATGTGCCATCAGCACACCTTCTTCAGTGGAGTAGCTGTTCAAATCTTTTATTCATTTTTTAATTGGGTTGTTTGTTCTCTGATTGTTGAGTTTTGAGAGTTTTTGTATATATTCTGGCTATAAGTCTCGATCAGATAGGTGATTTACAAGTGTTTTTTCCCAGACTGCCCTGTTTTCATTCTCTTAGCACTGTCTTTCCAACTTCAGGAGTTTTCAGTTTTTTGGAAGTCCAGTTTGTTGATTTGTTCTTATATGGATTATGCTTGATGTTATATCAAGACTCTGCCAAATCTGAAGTTCCAAAGATCATCTCCTATGTTTTTTCCTGTAAGTTTCATAGTTTTAGGATTTACATTTAGGTCTCTGATCCATTTTTTTAAAAATATGGAGCTAGGTATGAATTAAAGCTATTTTTTGTTTGATTTAATACATGGGTATCTACATATTCTGGCACCACTTGTGAAATGTTTAGCCTTTCTCCACTAAATTTATTACCTATGCAGCCTTTGCTGAAAAATCAATTGACCATATATATGTGAGTCTATTTTTCGACTCTGTTCTGTTCCATTGCCCTGTCTGTAACAATTTTAACACTAATATCACACTGTTTTTGCTTTATAGTAGGTCTTGAAGTCAGGTAATATAAGTTTTCCACCTTTATCTAATGTTGTTTTGTTTGTTTGAGACTTGTTTTGGCTATTCTGGGTCCTTTGCATTTCCATATGCATCTTAAAATCATCTTGTCGATTTCTGCCAAAAAAGCCTACTGATATTTTGATTGAGGTTATGTTGATGTCTGTAGATCAGTTTGGGGAAAACTGACATCTTAACAATACTGAGCCTTCCGATCCATAGTTATGGGATATCTCTCTCTTTACGCAGGTCTTTTTAAATTTCTCTCAAAAGTGTTTTGAAGTTTTTAGCATACGGGTCATGTACGGCCATTGTCATATTTATCTCTAAGAATTCCTTATTTCTTGATGCTATTGCAAATGACATTTAAACAGTTGGTTTTTAAATTTTTTTATAGAAGTATGACATACAATATTATATTAATTACAGGTGTACAACACAGTGATTCAACAATTACATATGTTATGAAATGCTCACCGCAAGTATAGTCACCCTGTGTCATCATTCAAAGTTACTACAGCATTATTGATTATAGTCCCTATGTGTACTTTTCATCCCTCTGACTTTATTTTATAACTGGAAGTTTTGTACCTCTTGAACCCCTTCACATATTTTGCTCCTCCTTCCACCCCCTGCTAAACAGTTTATTTTTAAATTTCTGAATGTTGGTAGCCAGTATACAGAAATACTATTGCTTTTGGTGTATTGATCTTGTTCCCGCAACCTTGCTAAGCTCATTTATTAGTCCTAACAGCTTTTGTAGATTCTGTAAGATTTTCCCTGTTAACGATCTGCCATTTGCAAACAAAAACAGTTTTATTTCTCCTTCTTAATCAGGAGTGCTTGTATTTCTTTTTCTTACTTTATTGCACTGGCTAGGATTTCTAGTCCAGTGGTGAACAGGACTCGTGAGAGAAAACATCCCTGTCACATTCCTGATCTCAGGGAAAAAGCCTTCAGTCTTTTATCATCAAGTGTGATGCTAGCTGTTAGTTTTTATAGATGCCTTCTGTCAGGTTAAGGCAGCTGCCTTCTAGTCCTAGTTTGCTGGAAGTTTTTATCCTGAATGGATATTGAATTTTGCCCAGTGCTTTTTTCTGTGTCTCTTGAGGTACCCATATCATTTTTTTTCCGGGCTGATTTTCAAATAGTGAAGCAGCCTTGCAGTCCTGGGTAAGTTCAACTTGCTCATGTTGTATTACTCGTTTTATTATTGTTGGGATCAGTTTGCCAATACTTTGTTAGGAATTTTGGCATCTAAGTCCAAGAGAGAACCTCGCTGGTCACTGCCCACTGGTGGTTTGGCTGACTCTGAGTGAGGGTGCCTCTGCCCAGCAGGCAGGCTCATGGGCACAAGTGTGGCATGTAGAACTGTCCCTTGTCAGCTGTAGGTTGTGGGGGTACCCGCAGAGGGCACTTGAGGCAAGTAGGCACTCTAACACACATCTGTACTTGCGTAGGCCTGGAGTCCCTGGAGGCTGTCATTCCCTACCTCGCACCCTAGACACCCACCCTGCTGCTGGAGTGGCCATCCCGTCATGCCTGGAGAGAGCCCTGAACTGGGAGCTGGGACGGAAGGGTGTGCAGGGCGTACCCCGGTCACTGCTCCTCCTGAGGGCCACAGTGAGGACATTAAGCACCGAAAATATTCCTCCCTTTTTAAATTCCCACCTGTTAGTCCCGGTTTTCAGACTCTCCTACAGAAAAACCTGTGTCACGGAAATGGCTTTATTCGCAGAGATGTTTGTTGCAGTATTGTTCATTAATCAAAACAGGGCAGGGATAAAACCCAGATTTCTAAGAGGAGGGGATTGGCAGAGGAAATACCGTTTTCTCTGCTAAATGGAAGACTCAACAGACATGAAAGGAGTGATTTATGAAGATCGTAGCAACACTGGAAAACCTACACATACCCTTAAGCTATAGCTGCATGAAACACACTTTAAAAAGGAAGCTAATGGGCAATAAAGGGTAATTATTTTCTGGGCAATGCCCTTCTTTTTCTTTCTCTAGTTTCTAAATTTTCTTGCATGATTATATGTCACTTTTGGATTTCAAAACTCACACTTCAGAAAAGAAAGAGCAGAGTTTGCCGTGCCCAAGGCGCCGGCCCTGCCTGGCCAGGCTGGGTGGGGCCGTGCGGGCTCAGCACCATGACCTCTGGGCGCCGCTCCTGTCTTCCAGGCTTTGGGAACCATCACTGCAGTGCCTGTCACAGGTCCTCAGGTCAGCTCCTTGCAGAGGTTGGCCGGGCAAGGAGCAGCAGTGCTACCTCAGGTAAGCGGCCTGCAGGCGGGCCCCGGGACGTCCGTCTACCTGTCCGTCCCCGCCATCTGTGTCCTGGCCCCTCGGCACCGGGGTTTTAGGTGGGTGCTGAGCTGGGTGGGACCCGCATGGGAGTCCCCCTCCTCCTCTGCCCGCCCTTCAGAGAAGACGCTGGGACTGTGTGGTTTCCACACAGTGAGGAATTGCAGTCAGTTCAGTGCGTCATGACCAGGACTGGTTTTTGTAATGAAATAAACTAGGCGGGACTGGAATAGAGCAGAAGATACCAGGGTGCATCATAAACATTGTTTCTGAGTAACCTGCTTCTGGACTTTGGGTTACAGGGCAACGAAGATTTTAAACTACGGGTTTCTGTCAAAAGGTATGAGAAACTCCGGACAAGGTAGTAGATTTGGGGAGGCAGCACAGATGCGAGGTCAGGTGCCCCTGACTGGGCTCAGCACTGGACAGGTCACTGGGCCTCTTCACCCTCCTGGGCTGGGTCTCCTCTCCTGCACAAGGGCTGGTGCAGGCGCTCCCTCAGGGGCCCCGAGGACTGAATCGGGTGGCACAGAGCCTTTCTAGCCACCCCTGGTACAAAGCAAACGCCTGCTGGTTACTAAGCAGCGCTCAGCTTTGTTGAGCACCTGCTGTGTGCACCATACTCTTCCGGGGGCTGTTGGCCACAGAGCTGAAGACAGCGTCCTGCAGGGCTGGACGATTGCCCCCAGCTAGAGGAGGGCGAGGGGTGGCCAACCTGGGCCCTCCTGTCCTCGCGGCCACCTTCCCTGAGGGCACACCTGACCCTAAGAGGCTCAGAGTCCAGGGGAAGGACAGACAAGAAAACTGATGCTTTGAACGCTGAGTCAGAAGGATGCACAGGGCGGCAGGAGCCCTGAGGAGGTCCGCAGCCCACCTCACAGTCAGGGAGGGCTTTCTGGAGGAGGGTGGTTGTCGAGGCAGGCCTCTTGGCAGGCCAAGGTGGAGGCAGGCCCCAGAGGACAAGCCCCCCAGGAGAGGGACTGTGGAGCATAAAGGGCACAGAAGTGCAGGGACGGAGGCAAGGGGCAGTGGTGAGGCCAGAACCGCAGTCCTCCGGCACTGGACCTGTCAGTGGCCTGCAGGCAGTGGGGAGCTGTGGGAGGCTTTTGGGCAAGGGAGGGTCAGGACTGGGGCTTCTGATCAAAGTCAGGCTGCCTTCCTAGGAGCTCTCACTCCCCTGTGCGCCTCTTTTGTGAAAGTCGGAGGCTTCATTCCTGTCCTCCCCAAAATGCGCACGCACACACACGCACACACGCTCAGGCATGAGCAGTCTACACTCACTCATCACTGGCCTCTGCACCTTCCTCTCCTCTTTGCTGCTCCTGGGCTTCTGTCTCCAGGTTTTGCCCTTGCTGTCCCCCTTGCAGTCAACATCTGGACCTGCTTGGTGACCTCCAGGTGGGTCAGTTCAGGCCAGAAGGTGCCCACCACATGCCTGGTCCAGCTCCTGGCTGCCACTGTTGGAGGAAGCCACGTGCGAGCAGAACGGCACCTGCGGTGGGGACCATCCTGGGAGGGACCGACCACAGGCCCAGAGAAGGGAAGGACCGTCCTCAGGGGGACAGACCACAGGCCCGGAGAAGGAAGGACCGTCCTTGCAGGCACCGAGCACAGGCCCGGAGAAGGGAAGGACCATCCTCAGGGGGACAGACCACAGGCCCAGAGAAGGAAGGACCGTCCTCAGGGGGACTGAGCACAGGCCTGGAGAAGGGAATGAGCACAGAGGGCAGGGAGGCCCCCTGAGGCTCCTGCAGGAAGGAGACCTGGGCGTAGGCCTGCACACACCTCCAAGTGACCCCAACTGAAAGGTCATGAGCTCTGTGGCCCCCCTAATAGGCTTTCTCTGGTTTGGGGGCCCACATGTTTGGGCCAAACCCTGAGCCCCTGGCTGAGCTCCTGTTCACAGTGGAGCCCCTGCAGCCTGGATATGGCTCCACCACATTCAGAGTCTGGGTATGTAGTGTCCGCTGGCCAGTGTGAACTGGGGCACGAGGGCAAACCCCAAACGACCAGGGAGGAGCTGACAGCACAGAATGGCCTCACCCGAGGTGAGCCGGAGCCCGCAGCCGGGGTTGCTGACCGCCACTCACCCGGCCTTCCACAGAGGCAGAGAGCAGCAGCCAAGGGTTGGCAGTGGTCAGAAGGATTCGCTCGGTGGTTTTCCACGTTCAGTGTTGGTGTGTGTGTTAGGCACGAGCTTGGCTGCAGGTGCCACTGACTGGCACAGGATTGCACAACTGGGCCAGTCCCCTGATGGTGAGGAAGGCATTTCTGCCCTTGGAGGCCCACTTTGCCAAGAGCCCACTGTGGCCGGGGAGGGGAAGGCTGCCAGAACTGAGGTTGCTCCATGGCAGACCCTGGCGAGGAGCTTGCAGACGTACTGCCTGCCTGACTGCCCTGCCCCAAGGTGACCTGCTCCAGGACTCAGAGCCCCCAGGCAGGCTTTAGTAGTCTGGGTGTGAGCCCCACTGCCCTGGCAGTAATGGCTATAGGGTCGCCTTTCTCCTGGGTAAGTCCCTTCCTCTACAAGCCTCAGTCTGCTCATCTGGGGGCCAGCATCCCGACTCCACAGGGCAGTTACATGGGGCTCAAAAAGGTAAGACAGGGCAAGCTGACCCCCCTCTCTCAGCCCATCGCCTTGTCTCTAAGAAGGTGATGTTAGCTTGGACCTACGGGGTTGACAGGAGGCTCCTTTGTGACCGCAGGAACGCTGGCATGCTGGTGACAGTCAGCAGCATCTTGCACGTTCTCTGCCCGCCCCCAACTAAGGTGGGTCCCATCAGCCCCAGGGCACAGATGAGGTGCGTGCCTGAGAATGCACAGGTCCTGGAGAGGCAGGATTGGCCCCAGACAAGCCGTCTAGAGCCTGGCCTGAGCCACTTCATAGCCACTACACATGCTTTAACTCTCATTCCGTCTGGACATCTTGGCTCCCAGTCCATGGCTTTCATGGGGCACAGCAGCAGCCCCTCCCAGTCACCGCCCCATGGACAGCACTCCGCTGGCCTGTCGTGTTAGGAGAGCTTTGCTGCTTCGCAGCTTCCTGTGGGCAAGTCCTGGTCCACCACCTGACGCTGATGCTCCGCCCCTTCCCATCACCCCTTCCTCTGTCTGCCCCCGGTTCATCTAAGTTGAGGGGAGGACTCTGGCCCAGAGTGCCCTTCCTGAGCCCATGGCCAGTCAGTGCAAGGTCAGATACCAGCGGCTGTGGGTGCATCTGGTGGCCTCTCCACTGCCATCCCCTCACCTACAGTGAGCCGGGCCACTTCACTGCCCAGGCTCTGTCCTTCCCGAGTTCTGGCTCTGCCCAGGGCCGCCCCTCCACCATGCCCGTTGTTGCCCCACTGTGTGAGTGTCCATCTGACCGTGTAACTGTGCCTCCCTCCCCAGGTTAGGCCAAAGACTCTGATTCCAGACAGCCTTCCTGTCACCCCAGGCCGGGACCGGCCACCCAAGCAACCCCCAACATTCCAGAAGGCCACCGTGGTCAGTGTCAAGAACCCCAGCCCAGCCCTCCCCACCGCCAACAACACCGTGAGCCATGTGCCAACACCCAGCAGCCAGTCCCAGGCACTCACCGAGCCCGCTGCCCTCACCTCTCCTCTGAGCAGTGCCGGGGTGGCTTACGCCATCATCTCCACCGCCCCCAGCACCGCTGTGTCCGTGGTCAGCGACAGCATCAAAGTCCAGCCCCTCCTCATCAGTGCCGACAAGAAGGTGAGTGTGTGCCGCAGGCAGGTGCCAGGTGTGCCCGCACACACAGGAGGCAGGTGTCCAAAGGGCTAGTTAGTGAGTGGGTGGCAGAAAGTTAGTGTGGCCAAATGAATGAACAGGGTGTGAATGAGCAACCAAGCGAATGAGTCGCTGTGTGAATGGTGGGGCACAAGTGAACATGTGATTGAAAGGTTGTGTGGCTGAATTAATGAATATCAGTGGCAAAGCATGTTTTTACTTAGTTCATTGAAATAATTAATTAACTAATAAACTGTGTGGCCAAATGCCGAGAAAAGGCCAGTTCTAGTGATTGGTCTCTGCTGGTGGTTAGGTAGTCGAGGACTGTCTTGGATCCCAGGTACTGAATGGAAAATGTGTGATTTCTTGCCAAGATTTAAAACTAAAACAGGTCCTTTCCCTGTTCCCCTCAAAGCCCCTTGTTGATTGGGCTGTTTGAGATTTTTGGGGCTGTATAGAAGGTGCCATTTCCTCTTTGTGGCCCTCTTTTCCTCTGTTTCTAATCTGGGGTCTGCCAGGCAGCCCCTCGCTTTTGACGGCCAGTGTCCCTTCTACTTCCCAGCCTGAATGATGGCACTCTACTTTCATGTGACCGTATATTGTTGCATACAGTATATTCCTGGGAGTACTATAGTTTTGAGTGTTCTCACCCATGAATTGTATCCCCCGGAATTCTCAAAGCCCTAAAGATCTGTCACAGGCTGCAGTCAGTTATAAGTTCCAGTGAGGAAGCGTGCACCCCAGGTGCAAAGGGGTTGCTTAGCAGTCTTGTAGATGAGAGTACCCATTTCATTACAGCATCACCAGCATTTAGTGTTGCCATTTTAAACATTTTTTACTCATTTAATTGGTGCAAACAGATGTTCATTGTTGAATGCTAAATCCCTTTTATTATCATTAAGCTTGAATATTTTCTATATATAACTTTTTAATAATTTTGTCCCCTTCTATGTGACTCATTTGAGGATATTCTGTGCCCTTTTTTCTGCTGGGAATGGGTTTTCCCCCCCATGAATATAAAAAGAGGCATTTTTTTTCCAGCCAGAGAATTCTGGGGTTTTAAAATTGTGACACAAAGAAGAACAAAGAGCCTTCCCCTAAGCTGCCAGGAAAATGGACTGTGTTTCCTCCTTCATGCTTAGGACCCTCAGATTCAAAGACAGTCACCACATCTTCTTAGGGGCAAAAATACATATTCAGGTTATTCCTAGCTTGGGCCAGACGCTGGCTCTCCCAGTGAATTCCTTTCCCTGGATCCAGGAAAGATAATAATTCTTTCCCAATTCCCAGTTCAAAATAATTAAATAGTTAAACCACAGATGGAGAGACTCTGGCCCTAGGAGAGACTGGGCTGCAGAAATAGATTTCAGACTTTTAGCTCAGACCCTTCAGTCAGACCGAATGATAACCCTGCACCCTGATGAAGGTCAGCTGAAGTGGGGCCACCCTGGGCAATGCTGAGTGGGGTCTGGGGACCACCTGTCCACCTCCGCCCCGCAGGGCTCCACAGAGTGAGATTAGCTTCATCATTACCACCTGCCCCTGCCTCAGACCGAATGATAACCCTGCACCCTGATGAAGGTCAGCTGAAGTGGGGCCACCCTGGGCAATGCTGAGTGGGGTCTGGGGACCACCTGTCCACCTCCGCCCCGCAGGGCTCCACAGAGTGAGATTAGCTTCATCATTACCACCTGCCCCTGCCCCTGCCCCCCCCCTCCCCCACCACCAGGCCAGGTCTGAGAGCCTCAGATGCAGTGGCTGGGGGCCCAAGGGGCAGGGTGGGGGGTGGGCTGGCTGGGGAGTGCAGCTGGACAGGCCTGGGAAGCAGCCCAGCTCCTCTGTCCCCTAACCTGATGGCCTCAGGCGGAGAGCAAGTCGAGCCCTCTAGGCCTCCGGCCACCTGCATTTGAGCTGGGTTAAAGAAACCCACCTCTCTTGAGTCTTTGCTGCTCAAATCTTCACACCCTCTCTGCAGGTAGGTATTTCTTGGAAACTGAGGCTTGGAGAGGTAAAGTGATCTCTCAGAGGCCACACAGCTGGATTGACCCCAGGCCCTCCTGGCTCCTAAACCAGTCCCATTTCTCATGTAGACGCTTCTCTCGGCCTGCAAGGCTGTGGGGAGGTGTACACCTTGGGTGCAGCCCCCATGGTCTGGGTGCTCAGTGCAGGCTCCTCATTTCTCCGTGGTCCTGCATGTGGCCCCTGGCTCTGCAGATCCAGCCTTCCCAAGGCCGTCCCAGCTCTCCCTTCCTTTAGGCCTCCCTCCCTGCCCCCTGCCAACCCCTCCCCGATCCACTGCACATTCCAGGTCATCATCATTCAGCCGCAAGTGCAGACGCAGCCCGAGAGCACGGCGGAGTCAAGGCCACCCACGGAGGAGCCATCTCAGGGAGCTCAGGCCACCGAGAGGAAGGAAGACCCGCCCCTGCGCCAGGAGGACCCTGAGGTAGGTGGCCGTGGTCTGGGGGCTGCTGTCTGGGGGCTCTGCAGGCGGTGGGGACGGGCCTCACTCGGGGATCGTCTGACAAGCCCAGGGCACAGCCACACTGTGCACCCCTTTCCAGCAGGGACTCGCCTAACAAGCTGAGGTCTCTGCTGTGTCCCACAGGTTTGCCCAGCTGAGTGGCAGTGTGGGGCAGTGGCTGGTACAGATTTGAGACCCAGGCTGCCTGGATTTACATCCGCACTGTCAGCTTCTAGCGGCGTGACCGGGAGAGCACGTCTGGTTCCTCATCTGTAAGATGGGAGTGGGGTCTTCCCTCTGGCAGTTACTGGGAGCATTCCAGGAGTCGGCCAAGCCCGGAACAGTGCCTGGGGCGCTGCTGGCTGCTGGGCCATCCCCAGAGCCCCCCACATGCCCCTCCCGGTCCTCAGGACCCTCAGTGTGGCCTTCTTGGCAGCACATGGCCCTGGGGCAGCCCTGCCTCTTCCGCCTGCCGTGACCAAACATTAACACCTGAAGGCAGCAGAGCGAGAGCCTGGATGCCTTGGAAAATCAGATCCTGGCCAGGGCTGGCATGGTAGATGCACACGTCTCCTGAAGGTGCCTGTAGAACTCTCCAGAAGTCACATGTAGTGCCACCCTCCACCGCCACATGAAGGAGGGATAAACGTGCTCTGCCACACCCTCCTAGAGCGTGGCTTTCACGCAGCCACCGGCACTAATGGAAGTGTATGAGGGGGCAGCTAATCTAAGGCCGTTCTTTGTTAACTTTTGGCTTCAGTAAGTGACAGTGACTGTCCTTGTGTTAGCTGCAGGGATGCTCAGCCATCCTGGGCCAAAGTCAACCTTCTGGGCCTTTTTTCATGCACCTGCCCTGGCCTGGCCCCCTTTTCTCTCCCTCTGGGCCCTTACTTAGCCTACAAGATTCACCTCAGACATCCTCTCCTCCAGGCAGGCTTCCCAGACCACCCTGCCCCAGTGGGCAGAAGAGACCCCTGTGGGCTCCTACAGCTGCTTGTGATTCTGTTTATCAGCATGCTCTCATTATCAAAAGAAGTCCATCTTTCATCCACTCATTTAGTCACCAAACATGTCTTGGCATTTGCTCCAGGACAGCTCTGTGCTGAGATGGGGACACCACAATGGGGCAGACGGAGCCCTGGCCCTGGGGAGATGCACTCCTATTGGCAGAGACAGGCAAGGCCACTGGACTTGAACTTGGGTTAAACATGTCAGGTGTCATCAGATAATTAAATTCAGAGCTAGAGAGCCAGGGAGAGTTTGCAGAAGAAGGGCAAGATGAGCAGGAATCCAAGGGACAGGCAGAGTTTCAATAGAGGGGCAGGAGGTGGGAGGGATGGCACGCCAGGTGCTGGGCACTACCTAGGCAGTCGCAGGGAAGTGAGAAAGGACTCAGCATGCCCAGGGAAGACCAGGTCTCTGTGGACTGCAGGTAGCGTGTGTGCATGGGAAATCCTAGACACGGGTTAAGAAGAGATGTTGGAGCCTGATCCTGGGGCATCTGCATGCAAGCTGCCAAGGTGAAACTTTATTCCTTGGGTAGTAGGGAGCCATGGAATATCCTTGGGCAGGAGTGATTTGATTATTGTCCTTTGACATGTCCAAAGGGCCTGTTGGGGATTCACAGGGTGGACCATTCACCTAGGCTGGGATGGAACAAGGTGTCCTCTGTGGCCCCAGGCCCAGTTTTACCTCGAGAAGCAATCAGTTCCATTCAGTGGCAGAAATGTGAGCACCAACTGTTTGCTTGGTGAGGCCCAGAGCCCCCTGAGCAACCCTCTGCCCTCCCATGGGGTTTTGCTGCACCCTTAACATGGGGGAAGTTTTTCTGGGTGGATTCTCTTTGTTCTCTCAAAGTCTATCCTAGTCAATTATTGTGCATTTATACAATTAGTATAATTACATCTAACTACATAATCAGTGTAAATACGTGTAATGACTTAAATAGAACTTGCAATTACAACACATCCTGGTGTAAAAATCCTTATTGAAGTTTCTTTTGAGAGAGGGCCGGGTGCATTTGTGCCGCGCAGGCACGGGGCTTTGTGGCAGCCCTTGAGCCTGTCCATGAAGCACCTAAGTTAAAAACACTTGAAGCAGAGCAACAGCTGCCCTGGAAACTCCACCACGTGAGCCAGCTGGGAGCCCCTGGGTCACCAGGTTGGGGAACAGACTTTTTGTAAAGAAACACTCATTGGTGGCTTCTGGGGAGGTGGCTGGTGAGCGTCCCACGCCAGCAAGCCCTGCATGCCTGCAGCTGGGGCCTCATGCAGCCGCCAGCATTGGCGGGCCAGCCTTGGGGTTGTGCATAAATGGCACAGGAAGTGCAGCAGGCAGGGGCATGGCGTGTACCAGTGCCCCAGGAGACCTCCGAGGCTCCGCCTGCTTCTCCCTGTCCCCAGGCCCCCTGCCTTTTCTAGGACAGGGCTGAGGACTTTCCTGTGCCATCCTCCTGGCTTTGGGCAGCATCTGACAGAGACTGGCCACCTTCAGATCAGTGTGTGCCCTGCAGGGGGCAGCCAGAGCAGGGGTCCCAGCCCCATCTGAGCCCAGCTGCAGCCCCAGGCCTGGCCCCCTCTCTGGTGAAGGCTGTGCACAGCGTTGCCCCTTGCCTCCACGCCATCCCTGTCTCCACACCATCCCTGTCTCCACAGCCCCCATTACTGCCCCACATCTCAGGCTCCTGGCCCCTTGCCCCTGGGCGGCTTCCTCCCTGTCTATTCGCCCTGAAGCTAGAAGAATCTTACTAAGACTCAGAAATAGCCAAGTCACCCCCACTTCTTGAAATCCATCAAAGCACCCCGCGCCCCCTGCCCCAGGATGGCTGGGGGACGTAGCCCTCTGCCGCAAAGCCACAGCAACAGCAGATAAGACGGAGGAAGAGACAGTAGAGGCACAGCTGTGCATGGCTGCCTCCAGAAACAGGCAGTGAGCAGGACTCCTGCCCAGGCCCCTGGGCCCCCGGCTCAGAATCGGGTGAGGGTGACCAGGAGGGAAGAGAACCAAACAACAAAATAAAAAGGAGGTTGTGCCCAAAATTAGTCTGTAGACAGAATTCTAGAATACGTGAAGCGATCTGATGCTAAGGATGGCAATCAGAAGCGACATTTGGAACATGAATTTATTCAGGATGAAGTTGATTTTATGGAATACGCTAGCAATGACTTTAAATAAGTATGTTTAGGATTTTAGGATACTCAAAGGGGTTTAAAAAAAAGGAATAATATCCTCTTGAAATAAATATGGACTAATGAAGAAAAAAGTCCTGAAAACAAGATCAGATGAATATAAATTTTTTTTGAAAATCTGGTAGTGAAAACCATGGTGATTGGCTGGAGTAAAAAAACTTACTGGATAGGATGAACAGAGATAATTAGTGCTTTGAAATATGGCACCCATGGGTGAGCAGATTTAAGGAACAGAACAAAAGGCATATAAATATACATGATAATTTGGTATATGAGTAAAGTGGCTCCTTAGATCAATGAAAAGTGGAAAGTTTGAATTTTTAATAAACAGTCCTGGAACAAACAAGTAGCCGTATGGAATAAAATGAATCTGTACTTCATAATCATATACACATGGATAAATTCCAAGTGGGTCAAAATGTAAATGTAAAAAGTAAAACTATAGGTATGGTAGTAAAACCTGGGCTGCAGGCTCAGAATCATGTGATTTTTTTTTTGCTGTATAACCTGAATCTCCAGCTAAGATTCAAAGGTCCAAACACTGCAAAAAAAGTAAAAAATAAAAAAAATTCTATTACATGGAAATCTTTTTAGTCTGCCTGGCCCCCGGTGGAGCAGCATTTCCAGCTCCCGCGGTGTGCGTGGCACGGGGCCGATCCTCCCAAAGAGGACAGGGGGATGGGGAGGGAGAACCCCCCAGACTCCCCTCGGCTGGCGGTCAAGGGCAGCCTCGATGTGATGAATCACGTTGGCAGCATGTATCCCTGACATGACGGGTGGGAGGGCCCTTCACCTCTGGTGGCTTCCTCAGTCTAATGAGAAACGCCAGACAGACCCCAAGGCACCCCACCAAACACCGACCTGCCCTCCTCAGCCGCCACGCTCATCAAAACCAAGGGAGGTGAGAAACTGCCCCGGCCAGGGGAGCCAAGGGGACATGAGGGCTGACTGTCACGTGGGACCCCGATGGGGTCTCGGACAGAGAAAGGATACGAGGTGAAAACTGAGGACATCCACGTGAGGTGGGCAAGCCCTGCGGGTGCTCGGCACATCTGCGGAGTGAACGAGTGACTGGAGGGCCGTGTAACCCTTCTGTCTCCTTCCCTCAGAAAATCGCCTTCATGGTGGCGCTGGGCCTGGTGACAACGGAACACTTGGAAGGTGAGGTCACTCACGTGGGGTGACGCGGGAGGCCTGGTCTTGGGCAGCGCTGGGTGCAGACCTGGCGTCACACAGAAGCAGCTGGTCGCAGGATGCCCTGTCAGACGGTGCCCACGGGCAAGCCACCCTCTGGGAGGCCCACCCCAAATGCCAGCTCCCAGCCCTCCCCGGCACCATCTACTCAAAGCCCGTGGTGACGCTTTCTTGTTTTCACTGGAGGGACCATGAGGGACTGAGTGGTTCCCCACCCTGCGATTGGAGACAGTGAGTGGTGAGTAGCAGGTGGAGGCTGGAACGTGGGCAAGTCCTTTAGCTTCTCTGTGCCTCGGTTTCTTCACCTGTAAAACGGGATTAGAACCAAACCTTCCTCATGGGATTGTTGTAAAGAACCAGGAGGCGTGCCCGGTGCCCGGCTAAGCATAGCACAGGTGTTAGCACCGCCTCCCCTGCTACTGAACTGGCCATGGGCTTACATCACACACACGTCAGTCGAAATCAGAGCGTTACTTTGTTTGAGCAGACTGGGCTGCGTGACTGTACAGGGGCTGTTTGACTTTACTGATAAGAGCAATTACAAATGAGTTGTGAACACTGTCACAGAATCTTAGGGCCTGGAAAGCTTGGAAACCGAGGCTCTTGTTGCCCTTGTGGGGAGGCCGAGGCCAGAAAGGTTGATTCACTTGCCCAAGGTCACTCAGCCAGTCAGTATCAGGCCCAGGCTGGAATCCAGGTCCCCTGGCTCCCAACTTGAGTATTTTCCACAACTCCGACATCACCTGCTAAAGACGTTTTGTAAAGTGAAAGTGCCTACCCAGCTAAATCTGGATTTGGGAAGGAAGGCTAGTTTGTTTTCCTTCTTAAAATGGAGGAAAGGAAAGGAGTGGACTGAATACCACGTGCCCCAGGCACTGGGGTCTTTAGGGCGGAGGTCCTCTCAGTCCAAGCAGGTGAGTGACTGAAGCCCAGGGAAGGGGAGGGACCTGGTGGGGTCGCACAGCTCCTCAGGGCCAAGCCTTCCCCTGCAGGGCTGAGCAAACACGCCCGGGAGGTGGGCCCAGGCCTTCCCACCTTTTCATTGCTTGGCTCCCACTTGCTGTCTGTTGGCAGCCGGGGCATAGATGTGGGTGGCGAGGGACAGGGACATGGCCCCACCGTCCAGACCCTGGGCTCCGTGGCCTGGCCCTGGGGAGGAAGTCGTGCCTGCACACCGCTTCTGCAGGGCAGGGGGATGGACTGTGTTCTCTGAACTTCCCATGGGATGGAACACTCCTCCTCGAACTTGCTGTGCTTGGCTGCCTCCGAGAGCTGTTTATGCTCCAACTTTGAAGCAATGGAGGCAGCAGTGGGTGTGGGGCTGGCCCTCCAGGTCATGTCAGGAGTCCTGTGTTCAAGTCCTGTTCATGCTGCTTGGAACTCCGTCCCCACTCTGAACCTCTGTCTCCTCATCTACAACACAAGGAAAACTGTGCCTCTAAACTTTTCAGGGTTGTGAGGACTGAGATAAAAGTGCCTTGCTGCTAGTATATTTGTGTTGGTTACTACACTTCTTATAGTCATTTGGAAAACTCTCCCCCCTGCCCATGGTACCCTGAATATTTATTTGGACTCATATCTTCTTCCACGGGGTGTGGGGGGGTCCTAGGTGCTTTACAGGAAACGTGAATAATATTGAAAAGGCTTAAAAGGAAAAATCAGGTCCAAGAGACAGAGATTAAAAAACAAAATGACCAAACAGCTACACGCAGAGATCCTCCCGGGTTCCATCAGGCAGTCAAAGCGAAAGGAAGAACGAAAACATTTGGGTTTGTGGCGTCCTGTGGGCGAGAGGCTGCCTGGGCTCCCCAGGGGCCTCGCCTCTCCGCAGCTCAGCCGGGCCAGCGTCTGGTCACTAGGCATCCGTTGTCCCAGGGGTCCCAAGAGAGACAGCCCTGGGCTGAATGATGGCACCCAGGGGACCCCATGGGTGTCTGGATTCTGGATACCCGCCACCCTTCCGCCAGTGAGTCCTTCAGTCCGAGGCCCACAGATCTCAGATCTGTCCTGCCCCAGAAGGAGCAGGTCCTGGAAGCCGCAGCCCACCCAGGGCCACTCCGGGGCGTGGGTGCCGGGCAGGCGGAGGCTGTGTGGCAGGAGGGGACGGTGGTGCCCAGGGCTGGCAGAGGAAGGCTTTAGGGTTCCGGGCGGGAAGGGTCCAGTAGCCCCTGCATCTGTGCCTTTCTAGAAATCCAGAGCAAGCGCCAAGAGCGGAAGAGAAGAAGCACAGCCAACCCCACCTACAGCGGCCTCCTGGAGGCAGAGGTGAGGCCCTGCTGCAGGCGGAGGGGATCGCGAAAAGACCCTCCTCAGCCCCGGGGGGCTGGTCAGTCTGCACTGGTGAACTGCTACTCCGCCGGGAGGGGGGGCTTGCCCATGGAGCCGTGGCCGGCGCCAGCCCCCGGCTGCCCCGTCGGGAGAGCCCACCTGCTGCGTCTCCCAGCTGCGCAGCCAGCCCACCTTCCCTTCCCTGTATCCTGCTGTTCCTGCTCCTGAACACGCCCCAAGTGTGCATTTTTTTGTCCCCGTTCACTTTCTCCCCAATTTTCTCAGCAAGCATGTCCCTGAGACAGGGCGCCCCAGGCACTCTGCCCCTTTTGTGAGAATGTCATCACAGAGTCTGTCCACCTCCACCCAAGGAAACCGTGTATTCTCTGTGCAAGGGCCTGTTCCCTTCACAGCGCTCACTGGTGAAACAGACCACCCACTAGTCTGTGGACAAAGCCACACCCAGTCCCCATCTGCGGTCAGGGTCAGAGGGTCAGAAAATCAAGAGCCACTCAAAGTCCTGTGACCTTTGAGCCCTGACACATACATAGCCCGACCACGTTGGGAGAGATGGGTCTAAAGCCAGTCACACACGCTGGCACTGTTTCTGCTACAGCCAAGGCCTCCTTGAACCAAGATGTGGCCTGTGGTTCTAAAGCCGCCTTTCGGAATGTACCAGAACCTACATCCCTACATGACGCCCTCACCTGGGATCCCTAACGTGTCCTTCCTAGTGAGACTGATGTGCCCGCGGGGATCAGGGAGGACTCCACCGCCTCCCGAACGGCTGGCCCACCTCTCCCCTGCTCCCGTGAACCCCGTATCTGTTCCCGTGTCTGCCTCGGGCCAGGGGTGTCCTCGCCCAGTCTGGAGCCCTGGGTGGGGAGCCTGTCCCGGTGACTCCTGGGCAGAGGCCATGTAGCCCAGGAGGGCTCCACACCAGTGGGTTGGTTTTGTTTCCTGTCCCCTGCAGAGGAAACGGCTGGCATCCAACTATCTCAACACCCCCCTGTTCCTCACAGCAAGAGGTAAGTGCCGCGGAGCCCGGGGTTCTGCCAGGGCCTCTGTGGGGCCAGGGGCCAAGTTGGCTTGGTGGCCCTGCACTCCTGGCCTGAGGCTGCTGGCCTGGCCTCATCCTGCTCCGGAGCAAGGGGTCTGAGTACCTGGCCTGCCCCGCCCGCAGTAGGGACAGGCTGCTTTCTGGTGGGCAGCGTGTTACAGCTCTCCGGGGCCCCCGTGCCACGCTGCCTCTGTCCTCATGTTTCCGTTGGGGAGGAGGCTGGTGGAACATGCTCCCACCTGAAGGGTGGGGAAGCTGGGGCCCTGAGCAGGAGAGCAGGCCGGGGTCATGCCCAAGGCCCAGACCAGGGCTTCAGGCTGCTGCCCCCGTCCCTCCCCAGGTGTGAACCCAAGCAAAGGCCCAGGCCACATGGTGAAGTGCCACTGTGGCAGGCGCCGCTCACCCCGGGCCGACGGAGGACAGGGCAGGGTCTCCCTGCCATCGGTGCCTCTTTCTGCAGCCCTCACTACGCCGGGGGCCCGGGTGTGGCTGGCATGGCCCCTGCCCTGAGGCCCAGCCTGGGCCTTACCTGCTACACACAGTCCTGGGCAGGCCCTTCCTCCTCGTCCTCCACACAGGCAACAGACACCCCCGGGCTGGGCTGGCGTATCGGCCCACACCTCACAGACCTCACGTGCTGGCCCTGGGCAGCGAGAGAGGCCGGGCTAGATGCGGGGGGCCTGGATTCACAGCCCAGCCGGGCCTCTGACTCCCAGTGTGGCCGTAGCCAGGCCCTCCCCCAGCTGCAGGCTCCTTCCACACAACACAGGGCTTGCCAGCTCTGGCTCAGGGCCTCCATCCTAGGATGCACAGGCCCCTGCCTCCTCCGCCAGCCTTGCCCCATTGCTGGACCTGTCCCCTGGTGGGTCCGGGCCATGACCAGGGCAGAGACCCTTACTCCCATCGTGCCCTGGGGGACAGCCAGCTGTCACTGGGCCTCGTGATACTCCCATGGTGCCCTGGGGCAGAGCCCCTGCAGTCCTGGGCCTCGTGTCCTCCAGTCCTGACTGGTGCTCCTCCGATGCCCTCTAACATGTTCTCCGCCCTTCTTCCCTGTGCTAGCCAATGAGGACCCCTGCTGGAAGGTACGTGTCCCCTAATCTTCACACCTGGGTGGGGAGGGCCCCAGGGCCCTGTTGCCCCAGAGGAGCAGAGGCCTTTGAGCTCCATCTGTGCAGAGATCTTTGCATGATACCCAGGTCATGTTCCTGCCTGCCCACCAGGCGTCACCACAGGGCTCAGACCACGGGTTCAAGCATGAGCCCTCCTTGCCAAATACTGAGGACACAGGGACCCCGGGAGCCAGAGGCCTGGACACGTGCCAGCCGGGCTCTACCTGGCTCTGCCCAGCATCACTTTGCGATGTCAGGTGGCACTGGACCCCTCTGGTCCTCACTGCGCACCTCACAAAGGATTAGACTTGGTGATCCCCAGGGTCTCGCCCCACATGCCCACATTTCTGTGACCCTACGAGACCCCAAAACCCCATGCACACACCACGTCCTCTGCCTCCCGAGAGATGGGCTGGTCATGACCTCGTTTGCAGGCATGGCCTTAGAATTTATTCAAGGTTTTTCCTTACTAAGTTTCAGATCTAATTCTAAAAGAATTTTCCAGTCCCTCCATGCCTGTAATGGTCAAGCCACTGAGAAGCAGCAGGTGATGGGTATAAACTCCTGTGACACCATGTTGGCAGCCATAGTAACCGCAGGGTCACAGATTGGTGGTGGTGGGCCTGGGCCGTGTGTGTCCACAGCCACCCTGTGCCCAGCCACTGTGGGCCTGGGGCAGGAGACCCCTCACGCCTGAGTCCCTCAGATGCTGTCCTCGCCCTGCCTCCAGCTCACTGTAGGACCCAGGCAAGTGGCTCACCCCCTAGGCTTTTGCACTAACACGAGAGGGGAACACAGGGTCCTTGAGGCCTCGTGTCAGTCTGATGCCCTTTCCTTCTGGGCCGGCTCTGGGTCCAGTGTCTTTACGGCATGCGTCGTCCCAGGTGATGGCGCTCTGCTCTCTTCCAGCCCTGAAGTCGGAGATGCTACCAGCACATAGGGACCAGCTGTCACTTGCAGGGAGAAGGGTTTCTGGCAGGTGGGGGAAATGCACTCAGATTTTGCAGGTCACAGGAAGCACGGGGTTAAGCTGCTTACTTCCTCAGGGCTCCTGCCATGCAGCATGCTGGCTGGGAGGTATTGAGCTCCCTGTCCCTGGAGGTGTGTAAGTAGAGGCTGAACAACCAAATGAGGGTGACTGCAGAAGGGACGTTTGAAGTTCCTTTTAAGGGGAAGTTGTGTGCCTTTTCCTGTTGATTCCCCCACAACCTGTGGGGGCAGGTACCATCAGCCCACTTTACAGATGGGGAAACAGAAAATACAGTAACCCACCCTGTATGGTGGAGATGGCAGGTTAGACTGAGGTGCTGTAGAGAGGACTGAAGGGAACCGTGGGAGGTGCATCCAGGTCCTAGGCCCCAGCCACCCTCCCTGGGGCACCTTACCCGTGAGGAGTGTGGGCGTGGAAGCCCTGTGAGATGGCCAGGGCCCTGCCCCCCGGGGTGTGGGCCCCCAGTACAGTGCGTTCCTAAGCCACGGCGGGGTCTCTGCTCTGACACTCACATGTGGAGTCTGGTCTCAGCTGGGGAGAGTCAGGCTTTCAGAGCCACACTGAGCCTGACTCTAATGCTCGGTGGCCCTGTCCCCTAGTGAGTGGCTTCAGCGGTGCCCTAGAAGCCTGTGTGTCAGGCAGCTGCTCCTCCTGTTCCCAGGGCTGTCCCCACACTTGTCACCCTCCGAGGCTGATCTCTGTCTCTCCCAGAACTGCTGAGAAACACTGGCGGAAGCAGGGTCACAAGTAGGTCAGGGTGGCCCCTGCCTGGGGGCCCCCAGCCCCGCTCCGGGCCCGGCTGACCCGCGCCCTCGCCTCCCTTCTCTTCCAGAATGAGATCAGCCACGATGAGCGCTGCACCGCCTGCAAGCTTGGGGCCGATCTGCAGCCCTGCGGCACTTGCCCGGGGGCCTACCACCTCAGCTGCCTGGACCCGCCGCTCAAGGCAGCGCCCAAGGGCGTGTGGGTGTGCCCCAAGTGCCAGCAGAAGGTGGGGGGGCTGGGTTATCTGGGGGGCGCCCTGCCTTCACCTTGCACCAGGGCCCTCGCCCACACACCCAAGGCTACTCCAACCCTGTGCCTCTGAGGGAGGGAGGGCAGAGGGGGCTGAGACAAGGGGCTGGGTATGGGACCGGCTCTCCCAGCCTTGGCACAGTTGCTGTTTGGGCCTGGATAGTCCGGTATGGGGCTGTCCTGTGCGCTGCAGCATTTTAGCAGTGTCCCTGGCTTCTAGGTGCTTGTAGCACCCCGTCATAGCCATCTCTGACATGGCCTGTGAGGCACCTGGTGAAGACTGAATAGAGGTGCCCCTCTGTGGCTCTCTCACTTAGTGACTCCATCTCTGAGCCCCAGGTTCCCCCCTACATGGAATTGGACAAGCTACTCAAACCATGAAAATAGTGCCACTTAACATATGTAGTTTCATAATGATGGCATGATGATGACACATAAATGAAAACTTGTCAAATTAGCAAAAAATGGTAACACTCCCGGTGATGATGAGGTGAGGCAGGCCCTCTTACATGCTGCATTATTTTATCAGGAGCCTTAAAAACGTGTGTACCTTTTAAACCCGGAATCTTGCTTTGGAGAATGGCCTGTAGAGTCAGACCTGGCCAGGCACGGCCCAGCCACTGTTTGCCTGCCCTTCTCGGTGGGGCCTGGCTTCCTCTCTCCTAGCCTAAGGAAATAATTCCAAGACAGGTAAAATCCTGTATGCAAAATAGCCCCTCACACTTTATTTACAGAAAGGAAAAGATAGATGTTATGTGGCCACTGAAAATGATTTTTTACAAAGATTTTGCAATTCTTTGGGACTTGTTCACTGTATGAAATTAACCTTGAAAAATTAAAAACAGGCTTTACAGCCTCTTCTAGTTTGATCATCTGCTATCTGAGAACTGTATGCAGAATAAAAGACCTGAGAGGAAATACTTCCTGTGGGCAATGGGTACGGGATGTGGCAAAGCTCCTTTGCTACAGAATGTATTATTGGTTAAATCACAGGGGAGTTGCCTTTACCTCAAAAAAACACTAACTCTCTTGAGTGCCCCTCATCCTGGGCTTTGGGGAGATCTAGGGAGAGGGGGGTAGGGTGGGGCATGTGTCGCGGTCGGGCTGTGTCCTCTCTGGGGGCTGCTGGTCCCTGCATGTGACTGCCTGGGGGTCACAGCTCTTTGTGCGGGTCCGGAGAGAGAACAAGGTTCTGTTCCCCACTTGAACCCAATGGCGGGCCCTCACTGGGTTCCCCGGCTGGCCTGGCCTGCCCAGGGCTGCTCTCGGGTCCCCAGGACGTGGGAGAGAACAAGTGGCTGTGCATGGCTTCCTTCCTTCAAGAACTGGTGCCCCCTCCATGCTAGGCACTGTGTGGGGCCTTGGTGATGAGCAGGTTCACGCCCTCACAGAGCTGCTGTTCCTGTTGCACTGTCTGTGAGGTGTGACCCCATTCCCCAGTCACAGCTGAGGAAGCTGCAGGTCAGGGAGCGTGCGTCTTCCCCAGGATTGCGCAGCCAGGCCGTGGCAGGTCCCCCTGCCCACCTGCTTGCTCATTTCCCCATCTGCCCCCCAGGCCTTAAAGAAAGACGACAGTGTGCCCTGGACCGGGATGCTGGCCATTGTGCACTCCTACGTCACCCACAAGACAGGTAAGACACCCTTGGGGCAGCTGCTACCCTCCCGCCAGCCCCGCCCCAGACCTCTGGGCCCATCAGAGGCTGTTCAGGCCAGAGCTGTGAGCAGCCCCTGCACTTGGTCCCACTGGAGAACAAGGCCGAATGGCCTGTAGGGTCAGACCTGACATTCTCGCTGCCTCCCCTGCCCGGGCACGGCCCAGCCACTGCTTGCCTGCCCTGCTCAGTGGGGCCTGGCTTCCTCTCTCCTAGTCAAAGAAGAGGAGAAACAGAAGCTGCTGCAGAGAGGCAGCGAGCTGCAGGGTGAGTGCCAGCGGCTGGAGGAGCGGGACCGGCGCCTGGCCTC